CCATCAGCCACCTGGCATCCCTTTGTGCTGTATGCGGCCATACAGGGAGTTGTTTTAGTTTGCATTTTTCTTATTAGTGATTTGGACAGTCTTTCACATGGCTCAGAGTTTGTAGTTTCTCTAAATTGGTCGGGGCCCTTCTTTCTGTTCATTTATTTACAGCCCTCCAAAATGTCTTCTTCATACAAAAAGTGGAACCCCTCCCCCCCATACAAAGAGACCCCAGAGATGCCCTCTGCATTCCACAGCCTTTGTCTTGTGGCTGGGTTTGGGGAAATTTGGGGAAAGGAAGAAAGGTGGGTGGGAGGATAAGCCAGGCAGGGAGGCCAGGAGTGGTGGCTAGTGACCAAGCGGGCATTGTCATTCACTCAGGTCAGAGTTTAACCCCCGGGTCTATTCATCAGCTACCGGCTGATTGTTGCGGGATCCCAGGGGAAGGTCCTAAACATCCGCCCAGCCCCTGCCTCCCTTTGAAAGTAGCCAGGACTCTTTCCCCTAAAGAAAGGGGGGAGTTGAAAGATACCCAGGAATTCCTGCTGTTGTCAAATGTTTTTACAGTGGGCTGGAGAGCCTTTCCTGAAGTCATCAGGTTCACGCCTTGCCCATGGTATTTCTCATTGCTGGAGCTGTGAAATGGGAATGGCCAGGAGATGTGGGCCACTGCCTCCCCCTCCCCCATGCCCAACGAGGAAGTAGGTTTTGTTTGACTTTCTTAGAATGCTCTTCTGATAAATCAGAGATGAATAGCGGCACCCACTTACCTTGGGATAGGTTGTTCTGTGGCCATCTTTGAAAAAAAATGGGCAGTGTAGGGGGAGAAGAGAGATTGGGGGATAAGGTATAGTAGAAGAAAGTGAAGGGAGATTATCGTAGGAAATACATTTATAATTAAAATTCCTTAACCTTAGAAATGGAAAATGAATGAGTTTGGGGAATTTCTCCCATTCTGAACTATAAATGAAGTCCCTACAAACTTTCTCCCTGCCCCCAACATTATTGTATCATGCTAGCTGGATAGATGATGACAGTGACCTGGTCTAACCCTCTCCTTGGCTATACCAAGGAAATGAGCTGCCAGGCAGGGAGTCACCATCCAAGATCAGATGCGCCTCCACTGGGGGTCTCCTGCTCCAGATTTAGCTCTCTTTTACGGCGCCACAGAGTACTTTTTTCTTTTGTGAATTTAGAAACAACTTTTATTGCTGTTTTCTTCTTTTTGGGGGGTGGGTGACAGGCTGGAGCTGTCGCTATCCACTGATTTGCCTTCTCTCCCTCCATTTAATAAATCCATATAGACCAGAAAAATGAGTGAAGCTGTTGACCAAGTCTGCTAATGGCCCTCCTCCATCTCTGCCTCGGTTTCCCTCACCTGTCTACCAGCAGAGGAGATAGATGCTTCTTCCTTCTTTGCAGGCCCTGATTGGTTGCTGCTTTGCTCACAGTTCTGAAGGCTTTTCTTCTCATGTTAGCGCGGTGCCTGGCACATAGTAGGCACTTAATATGTTTATTGAATTAAATTGCATTGACTGTTACTCTTGTTCTCCTGGTTCTGCTCATTTAACTCTGGATCAGTTCAAACAGAGCCCTCCATATTTCTCTGAACCCATCACATTTATTTGCTATGGCACAATAAAATCCCACTTCCTATACAACCATTTGTTCAGCCATCCCCCAGTTGCTGGGCGTGAAGTTTGTTTCTCTTTCTTTGTTACAACAAAAAATGCTGCCATGAATACTTTGTAGGCCTGAGACCTTTCCACCTCTATCCTTCACTTCGTTGGGGTGGCACGCGTTATTTTCCTAGGCACTTTTGCCCTGGAGCCGGTAAGGTGCTATGTGATTGGGATGGTGGGGAAAGCCTGGAATTTGTGAACCTTCTCCTCTTCCTCCTCATAGCCTACACCCAGATGTCCCAGAAGGGGGATCCCTTGGCAGAGGGAATTAGAGGATCACGTGGGAGAGACCTCAGGGAGGGTCTAGTCCCAGCTGCCTTATTTGGGAGAAGAGGAGCTTGGGTCACAGAGTGACTTAGCTGAGCACACACAGCTTGGATTCTCGTCAGTGTCTGGGTTCCCCAGTTGAGCGCTTGCTCACTCCACTTGCTGAAATGGAGACTCACTGGACGCTGACCCATGGGTCATCTGGAAATGGAATTTGGCAGATTCCTGTGCATGGTCAACATTGTAATTTTAATTTTCCTTCAGATTTTTGAAAAATTACTGTCGTCACAGCCTCATTGATTTAGAATGAGAAGAGACTCTGAGAGGCCCTCGTTTTCCCGAGAATGTGCCTCCCCCAGAGTCACACAGGCAGTAGATGTCAGAGGCAGGTGGGAACGGTGGGTCTTACTGAATTGCAAATCGGCCGGTCCCCAAAGTCTTGAGGTTGTTGTAGGATTGTGGTGGTGTTACCCCCCGAAAAAACATCACCTGGGAGAATGGGCATGGGAGGCTTGCATCCTGGGTAATTCATCCCATCTGTGTCCACTGGGTACTAGTGTTGCTTGCAGACTGTCCTGGGACAAGTCACTCTTCCCATTTAGGAAGGACCTACCGTGTGCCCAGGAAGTGCTGACATTCCATCTGAAGAGGGCTGCCCCTCCATGGGTATTTGCTCCTCCTTCCTATGGATGGCAAGGGGAGGGAAGGCGTGCTCTGGCTGAGGAGCCTGAGGATTCTGATTTCTCAAGTGGGAGCTCTGCAAGGCGGAGGAGCCCTGAGTGTGTTTTCAGCAAGGTTAGGGGTTCGCTATTCCGAGTTCCAGATGTTCCAGTCTTATTGTTCTGCCTTTAAAGACGTAAACACGTCTGTAAAATTATCTGCTTGCTACTTTTGGGCCCTTAGTCTGTGTAGGCAGTGGGAGCAGAGCAGGGCTTCCCAACCTGGAGCCAATGAGCTTGGTTTTTATATATTTTAGCAACTGTCTTTCAGTAGAATTGGTTTTCTTTGTAATCCTGTGTATTCGATTTTATGCATTTTTAAAATATTGTCATGAGGAGAGGCCAGGGGAATCCGTGACCCTACGAAGGTTCTGCACCCCTGGACCAGAGAGTCTCCCTAACGTGCCTTCTGCCTCTAACTCTGGGGACCTGTGTTCTCATAGGACAGCCATGGAACGAGGTCCCCACCACCTGGTGGCAGCATACCCTTAATAGCAGGAAATGGTTCTAAAAGGGAAAACATCCTCTGGTGTCCAGGCCAGGTGGACGCCACACGAAGGACCCCAGGATTTGGAGTACAGCATCCTGAGTTCCACCCATGGCCTTGCTGTTGCTAGGTTGTGTGACCTTGGATGAGTCATGCATCCATCCTTGCCTCAGTTTCTCCTTGGGTATGAGTGGATAGGGTAATTGTAACATGATGGTGGTGTTGATGATAGCTGACCTTAATTATTGGCTTTAGGTTTGCAGAGTGCTTGCTTGCATATACTGTTATAAGACATGATTAATACCCCCATTTTACAGATGACCTCAGAGGGGAGATGTAAAAGCTAGGGAGGGGTCCCCTCGAAGAGTCTTTGGATGGGTGCATGTAAAGCATTAGAACTAGGACAGTATGCCAAGGCTAGTTTCCATTATGATTTATTAATTTTGTTAGAGCATCTAGGTGGCCCAGTGGACAGAGTGCTGGGCCTGGCGTCAGGAAGAACTGAGTTCAAATGGGGCGTTAGACACTTACTAGCTATGTGACCCAGGGCAAGTCGCTTAACCCTGTTTGCCTCAGTTTCCTTATCTGTAAAATATGCTGGAAAAGGAAATGGTAAACTACTCTAGTATCTCTGCCAAGAAAATCCCAAAATAGGGTCTAGAAGAGTCTGAAATGACTGAACAACAGTTTTGTTACTGTCTACATCTTAGGTTTGATGGCGTTGAGCTAAAAAAGGTCCTGGGGCCTAGTTGTTATTTAATGGCTCTACAGTCTCCTGCTTAGCCAGAGAAACAGCAGGGCTGCGATGGGAGCTCATCCTCCTTGGGAGACGGGAGAAGTCATCCGGTGAAGACGGGGACCAGTCCCAGTGAGGTGGCTGCGTTTCCCCACCTCCTGTTCTCCATTGAATTCATGTTCTGTCTAAGCACTTGGGAACAACAGTTTGGTCTGAGTGAGGATTGATTTCTGTACATTTTAGTGGTTGAAATCCCCAAGATAGCTGGGGTCTGTGATGGCAGCGTGGTGGTGGGGGGAGCTTCTGGCCAGCACCTTCAGTCATGGGATTTCCACGGACCTGAGGCAGTTCTAATCTGACTTAATTCAGAGCAGAATTTGCTATCAGATGTTAGACTTTGTCCAAAAGGGGCCTCCTCATTAGCATGTTCATGTCTACTCTCAGGCCACTTTGTTGGATCTCTCTTTTGGGGGGCAGGTGTGGAATTAAAATAAGTCACGTCTAAGCATTCTGTTCCGAGAAGCATTTCAGCATTGGCTGACTTCCAGGTGAGACGCCTAAAAGCTCACTCCCTTGGCTGGCCGCCCTTTGTTCAGCTTTGCCTGCTCCCAGGCGGCAGCCTTGGACTTTGCTCTCCCCTCACCAGATGGGAGGGGTCACAAGCATCTGTGTGAAGAGTGATTGATGGCGGCTTTTACCCTGGCCTCCTCTCCTGGCCGGCAGCACGGCCTGTCCTTGACTGAAGCCACCAATATCCTGTCCCAGAGTAAAGGCTCTTTTCTGATTCATTGATAGTCTTTGGTGTGGTAATATCCCCAGCATTTCTGGAGGGCCCCAGGGGCCCCCCAAGTGCTGTTCTCATGAATGAGGTAGTGTAGGGAAGCATGGGTTATTCTCTCTGTTTTCCGGAGGAAGAAGCTGAGGTTCAGAGAAGTTAGTGACTATTGCCAGGTCACGCACTCTTCAGTTTGGACCAGGGCACCTTTCTTCCTCTCTGACTCTGGAGGGATGGCTGAGAACATCCCGGAGCCATTGCCAAGATCGCCCTGTTCCTGGAGGCTTTGTTTGGCCCTCCCCGTGGATGGCTCTCACGGCCTCTTCTCCGTCTTGTCTTGTAGGTGCTGCATTTCTACTGCGATACCTGCTCCGTTCCCATCTGCCGAGAGTGCACCATGGGGCGCCATGTTGGCCATAGCTTTATCTACCTCCAGGATGCCCTCCAGGACTCTCGAACCCTTACCATTCAGCTGCTGGCTGATGCTCAGCAAGGTCGCCAGGCCATTCAGGTAAGTCATCCATGATGTTTGCTCTTGGGCCAAGATCATCACGCAGCTCTAGCTTTTAAATTGATGGCCTGGGTTCAGTCCTGGTGCTGATAACTTAACCCACTGTGTGATCTTACTTAGGCTCTCTGGGCCTCGTCTGTCCTCATCTGTTAAATGAATTTAGAGTGGGGGCATGAGGTGTCTCCCGAGCACCCCAGTCCACACTTCCCGTCACCCCAACCGATCTTTCTCCCATGTGGGAAAAGCTCTTGCTTCCTCCATATTCTAGTTCCTGAGCTTTCATGATTGCTGCCTCTGTTTTAGAGGCATACAACCAGGCCCTGTAGGCTTGAGGTTCTGACCCATATAGCATACTGTTGTTTAGTTGACTATTTTTAAACTTACTTAAAAAAAGGTGAGAGCTCAGCTTTGGTTGTGATGGGCGTCCTGTGATGTTGTGAATTCTGAACCCATGATTTTATTGGCTATGCCTGGCACACAGTTAGGTACTCAATAAGGAATTGCTTGGGGCACACAAGTTATGTGACTTGCTTAGGGTCATACAGCCAGTAAATCTTCGAGGTGAGACTTGAACCCAGGCCCTCCCCCCAAACCATCTCTCCACTATGCTGGACCGGCTGCTAGCTCTGGGCAAAAACATTTGATTTTAAAAGTTAGAGACAAGATGTCAATGTCAGGGGACTGAAATCATCTTTTCTGAAAGACAAAGAATCCATAAGACATCTTACTTCTGTTTAGTATTTCTGCTTTCATTTTCTTACTGTCTTTTCTTTGGGCCCAGCAGACCTTCATCCTCATGAACAGACATCCCAAACCCCAAAGAGTTGACACTGGGTGTCACTTTCCACTGTGGTGACTTGTCAGTCATTAATCAACAGGCGCTCATTATTAAGCACCTACTGTGTGCCAGGGCTTTTAAAACTTGAATACTTTGGTCATGATCTGCACTGAGTTTGTGGGAATGGGTCTCCCATCAAATCACCCCAGCAATTAAAGCCTCACCCTCTCCCATATTATCCTCTTGATTTTCTTCCCGCCCTCCTAGTTCAATGGTGGAGTGACCGATGGGCCAGAGGAAATTTGGGCGTTTGGGATCTTACCTTCTATTAAAAGTAATCAGGGTTGTTTACAGATGATTGGTTCCTGTCCCACCGATTTAAGGCCCTTGTTTCCAATTAAGCAGGATGGGCCCGGGGATGCTCAGTTTTCCACTGTAGTTGGCTGCCAAATGTGGACTGGCTTTTAATTGGAATGACTTGAATAAAGCAGTTTCTATAGTTTCCCTAAAATGGGCTAATCTTCCCCCTTGTCTTCGGCCCAGGGCCCACTTACCATGGGGGATGGCGGCTTGTGGTACAGCTCTGGCGGAGGTCCCCAGGGCAGAGCCACGTCCTCGGCCCCTGCTGATTGACAGCATGGGGTAGCCTAGAAAGTGAGGTCTGGGAAGGAGCTGAAATGGTGGGCACACTGAGAAGAGGGGCTTTGGAATGTCCTTCCCTCTCTGGCTGCACCCTCGCCTTTCCATGAAATCAGTGCTGTCATCCAGCCCCCCAGGGCCTCCCCTCCCTTTTTTTTTAAGTCTTGCCTGACTTGGGTCATTTTCTCTAATCCACATTTACTTCTGCTCATGTTTTCATATGCCCTGAAAGCTGGAAGGAGCCCTCTGGAGACATTGGCCTAACGCCTCTTATTCTTCAGGCAGGTAGCAGCCATGTAGGTGAGGACTGGAGCTCAAGTAGCCTGCCCAGGATCTCCTAGCTAGCATGTAGGGAGGCAAGAAGGACAAGGATGCCAGGGCTCCAGTGTGAGACTGGGCAGCCACCCTCTGTGTCCTCTGACCCCGGCCCAGCTCAGGGAAGAGCTGAAGGGGGTGAGAGCCCTGGATTGAGATCTCATGGTGGGGGGGCATGGCATGGCCATCCAGGGACTCACCCCTATACAGGCCTGGTGGCCTGGTGCCATTGCCCCACACAGCCCCAACTTTTATTTAGAAATTCCTGGCAGTGGTTTTTATTCTTATTATATTATTATAGAGTTTCCTTCTGGGAAGCAGCATCCTCTCTGTCTTTGGGCAGAACCAGCTACTCCCTGGACAGTTTTGCCAGGAGTGTTAGGTGGCATTGATGCTTTAAAAAAAAAAAAAGAAGTGAGGGAGAGTCCCTGGGGATTTGGGGATGATCGATCTTACAGTTGGAAAGCTGTTTTCACGAGTATTAGATACCATCTGGGAGACAGTGTGGTGTAGTTGTGTGAGGGCCAGCTATCAAGGCTGAAAGACCCGAGTTCAGGGACCGCGTCTGACTCTTATTAGCTGTATATGAGTCACCTGTGCTCTCGGTCTCAGTCTTCTCATCTGTAAAGTGGGGATGATGATAGTAGCTACCTTGCCCACTTTGTTGTGAGGATCAGATGAGATCCCTTTTTTTGTAAAGTGCTTTGCTAGGTTTAAAGGTACGTCATCCCAAAGGCTTGTTTGTCCTGGAGCCCCAACCTCCTTCCCCCGTCCAAGGTACACCTGGCCTGAAATCCTAGTGAGTACCGGTTCTGATCCTCTGTTAGACCCAAGAAGGGAAGGGGAAGGGCTGTTGTCCAGGCCGTGGGGCTGGGTGCCTGGAGTTCTAGCTCAGGAGAATCAGGCCCCGCCCTGTTAAGGGGCTCCTCATTGAGAGGAGAGGGGACCCAGCCCCGACCCCACGACCCACCCTTCCTCCCAACCTTCGAGGCAATTGGCAGTGAGGGGCTGAAGCTCCTGAAAATCCTTTCTGGCCTAACCAATTTCTTTCCCGGGGGAGCTCAAGGTAACAGTTGCTGTGGGTAGGAATCGATTTAGTGCAGAGTGGTTTGCTGTGTGACCAGGAAGGACTGGGTCCCTCTGGACTGTTGCCCCATGAAAGGGAGACCTTTTTAGTTCCATGAAATATGAAATCGAGTAATTGCTGTGGGAGAAAGGCCTTTGAGCAACTCTGCACCCCTCCCCGCCAGCTTCCCTCCCCAGCCTTTGAAGTCACCATGTAGGAATTCACAAGTATTTATGGCTTGCCTACTGTGTACGATGGTTGATGACCATTTATTGGCGCCTGCTACGTGCCAGGCACTGGCCCCAGGGCTGGGGACGCAGAGACCCATCCAAAACAGTCAAAGAAACTTGTGCTATTAGGGAGACAGAGGAGCCCAGGGGAGAGGAGCTGGGACTGCAGGTTTTGGCTACATGAGGTCTGTATGGAGGGGGTGCCAGCCTGGAGTTGGGAAAACCTGAGTTTAGATACAGACGCTTACCCGTTGTGTGCCCTGGGGCAGCTTCCCTAACTCACTCCTGTTTGTCTCAATTTCCTCATCTGTAAAATGGAGATAACAATGGCGCCTTCCTCCCCAGGTTGCTATGGCAATCAAATGCGAGGACGTTTTTAAAGTACTTAGTACAGCGCCTGGCACACAGTCAGTGTTAAATAAATGTTAATTTGTGTTGTTGTTATTTGCACTCATTGTGTGTGTCCAAACAAGTCTGTGTGCTGGCTGGCAAAGCCGTAACTAAGGCAAGGTGGCTGGTGCTTTCTCCAGGGTGCCAAAGAGCCTCTGCCTTCCATCCACTTGGTTTCTCATAGGTACCTATCTATGGTGTGCCTGTTTCCCTCATCCGACCCCATGAGGGCAGGCTCTGAGTGCTTTTGCCCTCCTTTGCCTCCCCAGCTTTTAGCATGGTACTGGGCATGTAATAAGAGCTTAATAAATGCTTCTGGACTGACCATTAGCTGCCCTGCTTCAGGCTTACTGTACACCCGGTATAGTTGGGATAGTGATAGCTGACCTTTAGGGCTGTTTCTAGTTACTGTGTCATCTCCTTTGATATAAGGGTTAGCATCCTGCTTTTTATTTCTCCGTTTTGTAGGAAACTGAGGCTGAGGCCTCGAGAGAAACAAGCAGAGAGCCAAGTGGCCGAGGCCCCGGTCTTCCTAGCAGAGCCCTTGTGAGAGAGAGTGCTGGGGAACCCTGCTCTTTAATGCACTGAAGTATTGGTCTAATGAATTGGCAATTTCTCCTTTGTTGGCCCTGAGCTTTTCTGAGAGGAGAGCACACAGGAGAAAGCCCCTAACGTGTGCGGCAGCTTCGATCCGGGAGCTCTGCAGTACCTGGGGGGTGGAGGTGCCCTTGGCCCTTGCCTCTTGCCTCCCACCTTTGTCCAGAGGCTGATTGACTGGGCTGCCATGTGGGAGCTGGGTTTCTGCCTTTCTTGTATCTCTAGCTCTTAGCTTGAGTTCCTTCGCCTCTAAAATGGCGGAGTGGGGTTGGTGGCTTTGGAATCTCTTTCTAACCCCCAGCCGTGCTCTTTGCCATTTGGTTTGTTCAGTCTAGCTTTGTTGCCTTAGTGTTTCTCAGTTGCTTTCAAAGTAGTCACTTTGCCCGATGGCACCTACCGTGGCTGCCTCATCACCCTCTCCCCAGGTACATCAAAGCTTCTTCCTCAGCAGGGAGAAGAGCCTGAGCCACCCACGTTCCTAATTTAGCCTCTCAGGTCTGTGGGCTCCCCCCAGTCAGGGTCTCCTGGGGGGCCCCAGCTGCTGATGCTGATAACGCCAGCGTGTGAGACAGTGATAAGATACCCTGTGTAAAAGCTCACTGATCTGCATGTGGGCACTTGTAAATATTTGATGATTCTGAACTCCTGGGCTCACTCCTTTGCTAGTTTTAGAACCTAGAGCTGCCTGTGTAAAAGGGCTAATGATCCTACTAGGTAGTGTTTATAGAGTGCTTTACAAATGGGATCTCATTTGGTCCTTGCCACAACCTTGGGAAGGACAGGCTGTTAAATAGCCCCATTTTGCTGATGGGGATGCTGAGGCATTCGTTTAATTCGAAGTACCATCAAAGATTGGTTGAAACTGATGATGTGATTGAAAAGTTGAGCTTAATGATGAAACTCATGCAAATCGATTGATTGAGTTTGCGTATTCATTGAGCCTGCCCAGTGATGATAACATATGAGGCACAGTCATTGTGGGACTGACTCACTTTCCATTTTTACTATAAATATTTAGTTGAACCAAATCGAGCCTCCCCATCCCCACCCCGGGGTGATTGGATAAATCAGGAAATTTGAAAGAGACTCTAAAACAAAGGTGATAACCAGGAATGAAAATCTGTTTTTCCCAATGCAAAAGGAATAAAAATAAGATAGAAGCCGGCATCCATTTACCTTCACTATTACAGGCTTCATGCACATTGTGTACCAACTGTATCACCAACATCCATAAAGTTTTGGCCTTTTGACAGAATTACAAAAATCCCAACTAAAGATAACTTTTAGAAGCCAACGTCTTGAATAAAAAAGGACCTCTCCCCTTGGCGTCCTGGCCCCCCCCCCCCCATGATATGGACCAACATAACCTGCCCCTTCTGGAATCTTACGGATTGGGGATTTCCCTCAGCATTGCATGTTCAAAGCTTACCCATGCCCTGTCTCCCAAGCCCCCTCAAGGGCCTGGCTCATTTACCATTCCATGGGTATCAGGGCAATGCAGGACATGTCTGCCTGCTCTCTCTTTGCATTCTCTCTGAGCCGGGTGAATCATTACAGATTGATGTCATCTGCCCCTGGGCTGGGACAGGTGAGGGAGAGGAAGGGCCCATTGGAGAGTTGTGTTGGTTATAGGGGTAAAATGAATGTTCAGGACCGGGAATTTGGAATTACGGAGTTCCATTTGCCAGAGTGCATCTTACATATGCAGGTATCTTTTAAGATCAGCTAATCAATAACATGCATTTATTAAGTGCTTACTGTGTATCAGGCACTGCTGAGTCAAAGGAAAAGCAAAAACAGGGGGAGATAAGTTGGACATATTTAAGTACATACAATGTACCTACCTAGTCTAAGGCAACCTTATGGGGGGGGGATGCGGAACTCATTAGCAGGTGGACAGACTGCAGAAAGTCACCTGCAGGAAGATGTTTGAACTGAATCTTGAAGGCAACCAGGGATGTTAAGATGAGAAGGAAAATATTCCAAGTCCAGGACAGAACCAGTGACTAGGCCTAGAGGTGGGTGATGGGAGTGTTACTTGTGAACACCAGCCTTCAGAAGACCAGTAAAGCCAGATTGTAGGATGCGTGGAGTGGGGTTGAGGTGTAAGAAGGAGGCAAGGCTAGGATGGGGCCAGCTTGGGAAGCCATTTTAATGCCAGACAGAGGACTTCTTCTTGGATCTTGGAGGTAACGGGAGTAACGGAGTTTATGAGTAGGAAGGCAAGATTGGAGTTTGGGAGACCACTTCAAGAAGGTTCTTGCCCTATGTAGAATAGCTGGTTTTTATTAGAAACTCAGCATTAATTATCCTTCCCAATAACTATTTTGTTTGTAAAGGAGTGCAGGACCCTTCTCCCAGTCCCCATCAGGATTCTCGGGTGGCCGTTCTGGCTCATTAGATTTCCCTTCACATTTGGTCTCCTTTTCAGCTGGTGTCCTCTGCCACTCCCTTCACTCCATTATGTACATCACACTTGACTGGGCTGTCTCCTGAACACTGGGGAAATGCCATTCCAAAGAGTTGGGGCCCCTAAGGTTTGGAATATCTGATCCAAGTAGAGGTTCTTGTGCTATTTGAACTGCAAAGGTTTTTTGAGATCATTAGGTCAATCCCCATTTTATAGATGAGGATACTGAGACCCAGAGAGATGATACATCTTTTCCCAAGTCACACAGTTGGGCCATGAAGCCCAAGTATGAACTTTCTGCCTTGCTTCTTATCATCTCATGGGTTAGGGGCAGTGGGGTGGGAGAGGTCAAGGAGGGAGTGGGAATCCCATCTTTGCATGCAAATTGGCAATTTATCTACAAGGACAGACTTATCCCTGGCAGAATTTTGAACCCCAGTCTTCCTCATTCTCAGGCTGGTATATCTCCCTCTATCTACTACCCTGCCCCTCACAGAAATCTTGATGGGTTTTTAAAAAGAGGCAGTAATATCAGAAGTACTTAAAATCACCAGGTTTTCAGTTTTAATTCATTCTTCATGGATAATTTCTGCCTGCTTTTTGAAGGCTAAGGAAATTTTAGGAAATCTGATTTCTTGCCTCAGGAGGATGAGATTTCCTTTGTAACACTTGCTATAGGTTCCCATTTTTTCCTTCAAGAAGACTTTTAGGGGGTTTGTTCCTAACACTTTTATCTTGACCAAACCAATACCTCCTGGGGCGGGTGGGAGGGGGTGCTGGGAGTAGGAGACATTCATTGGAAAACAGCCGTGTCCTCCAGCACTGCTCTCCCAGAAGTGGCTTTTATTCTTGCAAGGAGTAGGGCCCGAGGGTTGGCTGGGCCCATAGTCACAGCTGCTTGATGATACGCACTACATTTGATGCTGCATTTCGGGTTTTCGCCTGTAACTCGGCTACACTGAGTGTCTTTTAAGTCCTGACATACACTGTTTAGGTGTAACTTCTCATACGGAGGAGGCGGGGGCTGTCAGACACTCCTTTGGTTACATGTCAGACAGGTGCCAGTCTCTTGCCGTGCCAGGCCTCTGCTTGGGAGCAGAGCCAAGGGATAGCGGCTTTGTGTGTGAGGCTCCCCTTTGTGGTCACTGTAGCTGTTTCGGATAAATACCATAAATGCTCTGTGTTTGTTTTGTTCTGTTGTTTTCAGCTGAGCATTGAACAGGCCCAGGCTGTGGCGGAACAAGTCGAAATGAAAGCAAAGGTGGTCCAGTCTGAAGTCAAAGCAGTCACGTCAAGGCACAAGAAGGCCCTGGAGGAGAGGGAGTGTGAGCTGCTGTGGAAGGTGAGACAGATGCTCTGCCAGCCCCAGCTGTTCTTCGTGCAGCCGCTGTGAGACAAAAACCCGCGTGCATCAAGGCCAAACTCCAGCAGGGCTAATTTTAGACTTTCACGGGTCGTGTTCTAAATTCGGAACACTGGAGTATTTCATGGAAGTGTTTTAGGGGAGCAAGGGCCCAGCCCCTGGTGTTGCCGGGACACACTGGTGCATTGTATGGCCTTCTCTCCCAGTCCAGCAACAAGGGCGCTTTTCAGAGCTGGTAGACACTCATGAATGAATGTTGCCTGAGTAGAGAAGGCAGGAGGGGCAGAGCACAAGGGAGAGGACTTTTTAAGGCCAGCAGACTGATAGGAAAGAGGCCTTTGGGGGAATTGCTGGATGGCTCCATTTCCTGGCCCCTCCAAAAGACCAATTTCCTTTTTGTTCTTAAGGCTTTTCCTCCAGTTGTAGAGGATGAAATGCCAAGCCTAGAGGGCGATTTTAAAACCAGGTGGAGAAAATGACTCATGCCACTCTCTAGCACCCCCATCCCATCGCTCCTTCTCACCCAGTCTCATTCTCCACTTAGGAATTGAACATATCCAGAAGGAATATTGAGGCCGTCAATATATCCCGAGCAGCAAGCTGGTGGCATTTGTCAGCCTGGATCAGGCTGCCAGTGGGGGTGGCTGAACTCTTATTCTTCCTAAGAATACACAGTTTGGGCAGGATGTTTACCAAAGCCTGTTCTTTTTGGTGGGATGGTAGAGTGTGATGTCAGCCTATTTTTATGAAATATCCTTCCCACAGAAAGTTAGCCAGAGACAGAAATGGATAGGCATTTATTTAGTAGTTTTTCTTGGAAGACAAACTGAGAGTCCTGGAGTCTTCAGACACTTTAGACACTCAAATGCTCCCATTGTTCAGATCTTGTATAACGTGCCCAAATGCTAATTAAAATCGGGAGAGGAGCTAGCTACTTGGTGCAATTTGAGAAGACTGTCTGTAGTGTATCAGACTATACCACAAACTTGCTTTTCTGGATTTCTGGATGAAAGGGTCTTTGTCATCTACTGGGAGTGGGGGGAGGTGGTCTTTTGAAAGCTCACCTTCAGTGATGCAAAACATCTTTCTTCCTTGACCTAGCTCTGGGTTTGAGGTGCCACTGTCTTCCGTCCTTCAGGAGAAAATGATGAATTCCTTTCCCTAGTCCTAAGTATTATGGAGTAACCTTTCGAAAGGAAAAACGTCGGTCTTGTGTTTATTGTAAATGATGGATTTTGTTTCCCAGAAACTTCCTTTGTATTTTTGCTTTAGTTTTCTTTCTGATTGTTGTTCACCTCAGCATCGTGCGTTTAATTAATCTTAATTGTCCCTGACTTCCTTCCCAAGACTTTGTTTACACTAGCCAACTTAAACTAACCCATTTCTGTGAATCACTCTCATCTTGTGTGTTCTTGGTACATTTGGCCCCATAGATGCTGGCAAGTCCTTCTCTCCTGAAGGCCTTCCTCTTCTTCAGCTCTGCCTTGGATTCCAGACTGATGGCTTCCCTTCCACTTGCCTCTCTTCACCTAGATGCTCTTGTCTCTCCAGGTGTCTATTTCCAAGATATCCTGCCACCACAGACTTGTACATTTGTGTTCCTTGTTTTCCTCCTTCACATTGTCTGATGTGTTCAAATTTCCCATTACTGCGTGTTGTCCTGTGAGTCATGGGACTATGCTCATCTTTGTCCTCTGAATCTCAATCACAAACCTTTCCCGTTCCCTAGTTAATCTTAACTACCTTGTTGCTGGGGCATCCAAACCTTCCTCTCTCTTTTCCATTCAAGACTTCTCTGCTTCTCTTTTCTTCTCTGATGCGAAGAGCTGTGATTTTTCTTAATGATAGACCCTGTCCCGAGGGCTCGCTGGTGGTTTAACGATTTACCTTCTGTCTCTCTGGGTCTCCTTAAATGAATTCTGTGCTGAGGATGCTGATGAGGCCACCGTCATTAGTTTATCTCAGAAGGAATGGCCAGCTTTTCTGCAGTTCTGTGGAAATTTTGAATGGGCTGGCACATTGGCCACAAAGTCTGGAAGGAAGGCCAGGCTCTCCACAAGAGATGGAGTGGGGTATTCCAGCCCTAGGAGAAAGCCTGGCTGTGGTTGGGGGAAAGGAGGCTTGTCCATTTGGCTTGATTAGGAATACAGGAAGCAGCTAAGTTGAAGAAGAGACCTCATGGGAACTTTGAGAAAGGGACAGGGCCTTAGACCAGTGATTTCATGAGATTCAGTGAGTCCTCGATGAGGCGGTTCTTCTGCCAAGGCAGGTCAGTATCTTCTGTGACACTCAGAGCCTTTCGGGAGTTGCCTAGATCACAGAGGGGTGGAGAGACCCTGGACAAGTCAGAGGCAAAACTTGAACCCAGATCCTCCAGATTCCAAGGCCACCTCTCTCCTCCACATGGTGCTGCATCTTAGACTGAATGAGATAGGATAATTGAGCTTTGTTTGAAATTAAATCAATTTAAACAGTATCTTAGTGGATTTTTTTCTAAATGTAGGGATTTTATTTATAGTATCCTCTTAGTAGTCAAGGACAGGTCTGCTGTCATTGGAAGCTGGTAAATCCCTGCTTTAGTGGAGAGCCTTCCAGCCCACTTACAGACACCGTAGCTTATGCCTGGCCTGGGTCGGGTGAGTGGGAGTGCTGTGGCTGGTGGGGTGGGGCAGGGTCCATGTCAGGAGGAAGACGGATTTCCATGGAAACATCTCTCCAAGAACTCTGGATCTCGGGCCTCGGCTTGCCTTATTCTCCCTCCAGTATCGATGGATCATTCCTGCTAAGCTCCCCAAAAATATTCTGCCTGGTAGCAATAACAATGAAAAGATCCCCCAAAAGAAGCCAAACTCTGAACAAGTAGGGAAAACCCCCCAGCAAAGAACTTAGTAACACTCTGTGAGAAAGAGCATTAAAGTCTCTCTAACTCCTTCCTCTCAGCAGATGAGGCAGCTTGTGATAGCAGAATGTGATACCATTGAGTAGTGGCTGTTTTGGTTTGCCTATTTCTCTTTCTTTTTTTTTGTTGCAAGGGAGGGAACAATTTTGTGGGGCAGGGGTGGTGGTACTTCCTTAAAAGGACTGATGTAAAACCCAAAGGCCTTAATAAAACTTCCTAAAAGTCCTTCAGTAAACAAAATTAGATTCGAGAGTCTGTCCATTCTGAGAGGTTCCCAGTGACTCAGGCCTGTTGGGGGCTTTTTGCGCCCCGAAGATACAAAAGTTGACTGTCACTCATCACTCCTCATGTATCATTTTTAACAAGGCCTCTTCCCTTTCTCCTCTTAGGTGGAGAAGATCCGACAGGTCAAGGCCAAGTCTCTGTACGTGCAGGTGGAAAAGCTTCGTCAGAACCTCAGCAAGCTAGACAGCACCATCAGCGCGGTGCAGCAGGTCCTGGAGGAGGGGCGAGCCATGGACATCCTGTTGGCCCGAGACCGCATGTTGGCTCAGGTCCAGGAGCTGAAGAACCTCCGGAGCCTCCTAAAGCCCCAGGAAGATGACAGAGTGATGTTCACCCCCCCAGACCAGGCCCTGTACCTGGCCATCAAATCCCTGGGCTTTGTCAGTAGTGGGGCTTTTGCCCCCTTAACCAAGGCCACCGGGGAAGGCCTCAAGCGCGCCCTGCAAGGCAAGGTGGCCTCGTTCACGGTGATCGGCTATGACCACGATGGGGAACTGCGCCTTTCAGGGGGGGACCTGATGTCCGTGGTGGTGATGGGGCCCGACGGGAATCTGTTTGGTGCTGATGTCAGTGATCAGCAGAATGGTACTTACCTGGTCAGCTACCGGCCACAGTTGGAAGGTGAGCACCTGGTCTCCGTGATGATCTGCAACCAGCACATAAAGAACAGCCCCTTCAAGGTGCTGGTCAAGTCCGGTCGCAGCTACGTCGGCATCGGGCTGCCCGGCCTGGCCTTCGGCACCGAAGGGGACGGCGATGGGAAGCTGTGCCGCCCTTGGGGGGTCAGCGTGGACAAGGAAGGCTACATCATCGTGGCCGACCGCAGCAACAACCGGATCCAGGTGTTTAAACCTTGTGGCACCTTCTATCACAAGTTTGGCACGTTGGGCTCGAGGCCTGGTCAGTTCGACCGCCCTGCTGGAGTGGCTTGCGACTCCTCCCGGAGGATTGTGGTGGCTGACAAGGACAATCATCGCATCCAGATATTCACATTTGAAGGGCAGTTCCTCCTCAAATTTGGGGAGAAGGGCACGAAGAACGGACAGTTCAACTACCCTTGGGATGTAGCAGTGAATTCGGAAGGCAAGATTCTAGTCTCTGATACCCGGAACCACCGTGTCCAGCTGTTCGGGCCTGATGGGGCCTTCCTGAACAAGTACGGCTTTGAAGGGGCCCTCTGGAAGCACTTTGATTCCCCCCGGGGGGTGACCTTCAACCACGAAGGCCATCTGGTGGTGACGGACTTCAATAACCACCGCCTGCTAGTTATCCACCCAGACTGCCAGTCTGCCCGCTTCCTGGGATCAGAGGGCACAGGCAGCGGGCAGTTCCTGCGACCTCAGGGGGTCGCAGTGGACCAAGAAGGACGCATCATAGTTGCCGATTCGAGGAATCATCGGGTGCAGATATTTGAATCCAATGGCAGCTTCATATGCAAATTTGGTGCTCAGGGAAGTGGCTTTGGCCAAATGGACCGGCCCTCGGGCATTGCTGTCACTCCAGATGGCATGATCGTCGTGGTTGATTTTGGAAACAATCGAATCCTCATCTTTTAATAGAAAGTGTTGGCTTTGTTCTTGCGGTTGCTTTTTGGGGGGTAATGGTTTGGTTTTTTTTTTTCCATTTTGAATTTCAAAGAAGAAACTCTCAGGGAAATTTTTTTTCTTTATTATGAGAACAAAAAAAGTACAACGTTACTGAAGACCTACCTCATCTTTATTTTTTTACAGATGAATGTACTTCTCTTTGTGCAGGGATTGAGCCTGGGAAGTTATAGATTCTATCTACCTCATGTTCTTTGGGTTCCCTCCTCCCTTTGTTCCTTTCCCCACCCCTCCCTTCTCAGCCCAGTGCAGAGTTTGTATTTACCTCCATCCCCAAAACGGGTTATTGAATGCACAAGCCGACGATTGGATTGGTTATCATGCTGTCACTGGATTGGTCGTGTGCGATCAAAGCTTTCTAGAGAGGAAGCCAAATGAGGCTCTCTAACTTTAAAAAAAAAAGATTAAAAAAAGTAGGCTTAGATACTTAGAGCATCTATGTTCCAGATTCTAGACTGTGGTTTGTGGGTTTCTTCCTGTGTTAAGTGTGTTTTGGTAATAAGCCTTTTAAAACCTTTTTTAAAATGCTGCAACAGAGAACATTTCCCTCTTACCCTTTCATACCTCAATATGTTTGACTTCCTGTTCAGCATTTTTTTCTTATTTCTAGAAAATATGAGTGAGGTGTGCCAGCTCAGAAGAGCGGGCCTTTCCTAGTTTGGGGTTCTATTTTAGAGGAGCGTGTGCAGTATCCCTGCCCCAAATGGTAAAAGTCAAGGAGATGGCACACATCTTAAGTTTTTTGATGACTTTTATTAAAATATTCTTCAGTGTTTGGGGGGGATGGTTTCGTGGAAGAGGGAGGAGTGTAATCTGTTAGAAGAAAATGGAAGTCATCTAATTCTTGGATTTAAAACTTTTAAAAAATGTTTGGGGGTGTGTGTGTGTTTATGTGTGTGTGTGTGTGTGTGAGAGAGAGAGAGAGAGAGAGAGTGTGTGTGTGTATACATCAGTAGAAGCAAAGAAACATGAGAAATTGTTGTCAAGGGCATGGAATAGCCGAATGTTGTTGTTTTGTGTGTTGTAGCTAGGCATTTTTTTTTCCTAAGAGTGATGGTGGTAGGTGGAAGAATAAAGTTTTTATTTTAAAGCACAATTTTTTTACAGCTTTGGAAGTTCAGGGAACAAAATACTTTAAACTGTCAGATTTGTTAACATTTGCCTTGGTTCCCTTCCCTCCCCCAACCAAAAAAAATTTCTTTGATTTTTTGAGAAGTCACTTTAACTGCATCATTTGCTGAAAACTGGTGCTGCACAGGAGACTTGATATAGTCAGCATTAATTCCTTGGAGTGCTTTTGAATGTAAAGATCTTTTCCCTTCTGAAATATCCCCCTCTTGGATGTTGATGGTGGCAGTTGAAAGTGAGGGAGGAGGCCAGCTCCTCCTTACTGTGCTTCAGGCAGTTCCAAAGAACAGAAGCCAAAGGGAGCATTCAGCATTGAACCCCATGGCCAGACCTGTGGGTACGTGGGAGGGTATAATGTTTCTGGCTGGGTGCAAGTTTCTTCTCATGACCTTTTCCAGTGGCTCCTTATCTGTCTTGAAGGAGAAAGCAGAAATGGTGTATATCGTGTAGGGGCAGAGCCTGGCCTTTTATTTTCTTGGATTATTCCGAGATGCCAGCAACTCTTCACTTCGTCTGTCTCTTCAAGAAACCAGGCTTCTCTTAGTGCTCAGGGAGGGTTTGGGAGCCACCTACTTTTCAGTGGTCAGAAGCCTAAAGGATCAACTTCTGTTTCCATCCTGGAAGGAGGAATGAGCCATTATTTTGAAAAGGTCATAACCCAAGAAATCTAGTGACTTGGGAGAGAGCTCTTTCTTTGTGACTCCTAGGAGAAGATGGCACAAAGGAATCACTGGATTTCCTTGTCCAAACACCTTATTTGGGCAGCTTTGTCTTTGCTTGGGTCATCAGAATTGGATGATGGCTCAAGGTCTGTCTTCTGTTTGCTGTCTTCTTCTCTCCCTGGTTCTCCTTTCTGCCTTGTTTCTTTTCTTCTCCTTCTCTCTCTCTCTCTCTCTCTCTCTCTCTCTCTCTCCCCCCCTTTTATATTCTTGAGGTCTTCATTCCTAAAGACCTTTTGTGTATCCAAGGAAGAGAGGACACTGTATCCACAAAATTCTCAAGTGTATCTACAAAAAATTGCAAATGTATTCGCTGCCTCTTACAGGAGATGAAGCATCGAAGGTAGCAGCCCAGACTACTTTCCCCTGTGAAAGCTGAACCTGGCAAACTCCTTAGTGTAGGCAAGGCATTGCACCCTTCTATTACGTTATCAGGAAGGAAGGTAAGGGGTGAGAAAAATTGCATGTGAATGGTTCTCATTTCCTAATTACCCCTAATGCAATGCCTCTAATTATGAAATGTTTTCCATTTTCTTTAGCTGTCCCACTTTTGTCCCTAAATTATCAATTCTCATTGGATTTTTTTTATGGTTAATCAACAGTTGGGGAAGGTCTTATTAATGAGGAAATATTATCCTAGCATCCCTTAAAATACCAAAGACAAGTGGTTTTAAAAGCTTTAAATGTATTTCAATTCTGGGAATCCTTGTAGATCTTTTTCGTTCTTCATCTTGACCTTACTGTTTGGTTGAGGTAGTCTGCCCAAGAACAGTCCTGTTGCCTTTGCCTGTTATTACAGCACATCTTTGTGGTGAGCCTGTCCTTTCCTTCCCCATGTCTCCACCTCCAGTAGTCACCTGCTGTTCCCCCAGACATTTTGGGGGAGATGTTTTGAAACCTGGATGACGCATTATCATTTTGTTGATCAGCAGTAACTGATGTATCCAGAACTTGATTGTCTTGGCTCTGAAGGTGGTTATACATTTTGTCATGCCCGAGAGCATTATAAAGCTTTGTGTGATCGTAGATGACCTTCACTGACCTGTATCTGGGAGCCATATAAGCTTGGAACAAGCTCAGTGTTTAAGAGACTGAAATCAGAAGTAGATTGCTTGGCTCTCAGCACAAACGTGCCTGGCTGTTACTCAGAAAAATGTCGTTCAGAGAAATGTGTGTCACATTTGGGAAGCCATTGTTTGTAAAACATTACCATCTGTGGATCCCCACAGCCATTCCTATCCTCGAAGAGTGCTAAGCACTCTTGAAGAATGTTAGTGTAGCTTCCAACATGGTGGGTCTTCATTCAAAGGGAAAAAATATGATGAAAGCCAACATCTAATACCCCCTAGGGGTGTGGCTCTTCAGAAAGCACCCAAATCCCCATTCTCTGCATATTTACTTTCCATTATTAGGTAATGCAGAAGTATTCAGTAAAGGTAGAGCTGAGGCAAACAGGACAGCAGGGAGCTGTTTGCTTCCTATGAAGACATGACTTTGAGAAACCTTCCTGAAATCTCCTTTGCCTGTAGTCCAATGGGTGCTGAAGGGTGGGAGACACAGAAGGTGCAAAAGACAGATCAGTTAAGTTTTCACCAAACTCTAGTTTTAGCTGAGGCAGATGATTTGTGCACTAAAACTCTTCTGAAGGAATTTCCATAGGTAAAACCACTTTGGGTGGGGTGCTGATGACCTTTCAAAAGTGTGGTCAGCTAAAACAAACTGCTGTCTTAAAGTGACCGTTAGGCAGTCCTGCTGCCAAGCCTGTGACAGAACGCATAAGTGGTAGCCCTGACACTCTATAATGTAAGTACCCTAGGTGAACTAGAACAAAACCCCTCAGTGGGTACCAGTTTTAGGTGTGACTAACTTTGGGGAAATCCCAGAAGAGTGTACCATAAAGACAACCTAAAATCTAACATTGGGCCAAAAACTTCCAAGGTGCGAACAGAATTAGGGCACTTCGTGTTTGGCTTCCAATGGGATAACTTGAGATTGGCTTTTTTAGTTAGAGTTAAGCCAAAGCTTAATTTATTTGAAGAGAGAAGTCTTTAGGCTTGGTCTAGCAGAATTGTGTTTATTTGTCTATTTTCTTCTTTCAAAGATTGTGAGATTGCTGTGTTTGGGAAATGAGTGAAAGTTGTGCCAAAGTTTTGTGGGTTTGTTGGGGTTTTTTTCTGTTTTATTGTGTTTTCTTTAAAAAATCTACGTGGTGCCAAAAAAGGAACTAGGGTATTTATTTAAACACCTCTCTTTGGAGCTTGTTTTCAACAGTCTGGAGCTGTATAAAAATTGAACACTGGTACTTGCGTTAGACAAATATGCCTCTGATCCTGAGTCTCTCCCTCTGAGTACTTGGGTCCCTGCTTGCTGATGAAGCAGGATGCACAAACCATTACACATACATCTGTTTTATTATTTTTTTTAATTATTATTTGAAAAGTTGTTGGGGTTTTGTTGTTTGCTTTGTTTCTACCTCATTTTTAGAGAGACAGCATCTACCTCACTTGAGCACTCAACAGGTCTCTGAAGAAATAGTATTAATCCATTTTGAGGAAAAAAACAGCTCACCCACACCTACAGAATCGAACACATCCATCCATCCATCCATCCATCCAACCATCCATCCATCCATCCAACCACCCACCTACAGGGGATTTTGTTGACTTTCAGGAGCACTGTTCAGTGGCCCTGGTTAGAGAAACTCTGAATTTAAACCAAATGTTCTTACAAAACTCAAACAAACTTAGTCCCCAGATCCAAATAGTTCTTAACAAATTGGACTCTTTATTTTAATGAAGTTATGCAAACTTGTTTTAAAAATCCACTTTTTTCAGTATTAAAAACAAAAACGACTAGTCATTTGAAATCTATTTGGAATTTGAATTTGCAGCATTCTTACATCCTTAAGACCTTTAGGTCTCCTCTCTTCAAGAGAAAAATATTCTATTTTATCTTATGTTTGGATGTTTACAAATACATCCTGTTAGAGAAGATTGTATTGCTATAAATGCTTTGGACGGCAGAGCTATCTATACCAAATGTTTGAAGGGAATGAGAATTGTTTTGACTTTGTGATTGTATTTGTAGTTTTCTTGACCCAGTGGGATGTCTTCCACCATGACGTGCAGTAGCCCACTTCTCTTCACATTTGGGGAGAACTCTTTGAGTGAATGTGGTTTTTTTGTTTGTTGGTTTTGGTCTGGTTTGCTACCAAAGGTAATCTGAGGGGGATTTTTTCTTTGGTTGTTGGGTTTTTGTTTTGTTTCTAATTAAACAATAAAAGTCGAGAAGCACATTACCAGAAAGTAGGGTTGATCTCCCATTTCCCCCACTTTTTTCTAGGGAGCTTAATGGATCTTCAGAGTTGGGGGTGGGGAAGTTATGGTAATGTCTAGGAACCAACCCCCCCCCCCCCAGTTCCAGTGCATTGGGTTTGTGTCATGGTGAGAAGACATGCCTCTATTTAAAATAAATAAAAGGATCTTACGGGTTAACATTAAGCCAGATAGGCAGGAAATTTCCTGCCATTGTTAAACCACTGATGGTTCTAAAAGCTTTGTGAGTACCTGCATGGTCTTAGACCCTCTTAATGATTGTATGAACATTACAAACTCAGGTAGGATTGGTTGTGAAGGCTCTTCTTTCGCAGTTACCTGTCTATCAAGTGAACGGAGTCGCCGCCCTCCAGGCCGTCGCCTCTTTCTGGGTGTAGTTTGCTTCTTAGTCTGCTTAGCTGTTTTGTCCCCTGGAGGACCTGTGTCCTGGTCCTGGGTTTCTGTGTGTTATCTTCTGGTGGAGGGTTTTGTTTTTCTTTTTTTTTCCCCCTTAAATCAGTACCAGTTAAGTGGTGGGGTGGGGTGGGTGGGGATCATTAAAAACTAGTTTGTAAGGTTTAGTAGGGTGGGTGGGAGGGGCCTATTAACATGGTTTACGAGACTCTGGCTTACTCTGTCTATTGACTGTTGTGTCCTGCCTTGGCAGAGACACTTCAAGTATACAACATGGGACTTGGGTCTTTTTTTTTTTTTGCGGC